GTTTCAACATCTCCTGATGACCTTGGCTAAAGGTCAGGAGGATCTAAAGGCCCTGCTGGGGAACAAAGAGCAAGTGAAGAAGAAGAAGAAAAGAATCGGGGTGGCTACCCTAGGAAGAAGGTTTGAGGGGTGAAGCCAAAAGAGTTCTTGAATTTCCCCCTACGTCTGAAGAGGGAACCAGTAAAGGGAATGCGGCTGCGGTACCTTCCGAATCCGAAGTTGAAGAAGAGGAGGCTGAAGAGGACGAAGACTACTCTGATCAACAATACCCGCCCGCCGATGATAAGTACAAAGGCTTGGAAGACAGGTTGGCAGCTATGGAGCTGCAGAGTGTTCCCGGCTTAGATTTCGAGGATTTGGGATTAGTTGCTGGAATTGTGATCCCCCCGAAGTTCAAAGTGCCAGTTTTTGCAAGGTATGACGGGCTGTCCTGCCCGAAGATGCATCTCAAATCATATGTAAGGAAGATCCAACCTTACACTGCAGACAAGAACCTTTGGATCCATTTATTTCAGGATAGCCTTTCAGGGGCTCAACTCGAGTGGTTCTATCAGCTGGATGGAGCCAGTATCCGAAACTGGGAAGACTTGGCTACTGCATTTTATAAACAGTATCAGTACAATTCTGACCTCGCTCCCACGCGTACCCAACTTCAGGGTATGTCACTAGGAACGGGCGAAGGATTCAAGGAGTATGCGCAAAAGTGGAGATTTCACAAACCCAATTGGTTGTTTAACATAAACTTCTTCGTCTAAGGGTCTATTCAGGAATGCACACTTCATGTCCATCTGACATATGTGCCAACTGTTTATTTCTGCAAGACCAACAACCAACCTAATTGTTTCGATCCTAGCCACAGGTGAAAAAACATCATTGAAGTCTATTCATTCTTTTTGGAGAAATCCTTTCACCACGAGCCTTGCTTTGTGTCGAGTTGCTTGCCCTTTGGGATTTATATTCAGCTTGTATACCTACTTGACATCAATTTCCTTCTTGCCTTGAGGCAATTCGATAAGTGACCAAGTGTTATTGTTTTTTATGGACTTCACTTTGTCGTTCTTTGCTTTCACCCATTTTGAATCTTTTAATGCTTTAGCTGTATTGACAGGTTCGACATCTGCATAGAAAGCATAATGCACTAGCTCACCTTTGTTATCAACCACATCATCTTATGTAAACACACAATCTTGCAACCTTGCAGGCATACATTTTGTTCGCTGAGGTCTGCTTGTACTTGGTTGATCTATAATGTTGGTTCCTCTTGTCGAACCTCTCTTTCGACTTGATTTTATGGTTCTTCAAGTAGGATTCCCACTGAATCTTTCTTGACATTTTCAATCCAATCCCATTACTTAAGCTCATTTATGATCACATTCCTGCTGATCACAATCTGCTTGTTCATTGGGTCGAACAACTTGTAACCTCCTATCGAATGATATCCAACTAGAATCATTTTACTCAATTTGTCATAAAGTTTTCTTCTCAACTGATCTGCACATGACTATTTGCAATAGATCCAAATACCTTCATATGACTCAAGCTAGGCTTCGTACCAGACCAACATTCTTCTGAAGTAATTCCTTTTAGCTTCTTCATAGGACATCTGTTCAAAATATATGTTACAGTTAACACATTTTCACCCCAAAACTCTTTAGGTAAATGTTTGTCCTTCAATATACTTCTCACCATATTCATGATGGTTCGCTTCTTCCTTTATGTAGTTTCATTCTATTATGAAGTGTAGGGTGGAACCACCTCATGCACAATTCCTTCTTTTTCATGTAATTTATCGAAGTCTTTCGACACATATCTCCACCATCATCATTCTCAAAACTTTGAGCTTTCGACCACTTTATCTTTCGACCATAGACTTAAACTTGATAAATACCCCGATCACTTCACTTTTCTTCTTGATCAGGTAAGTCCATATTTTTCTACTATAATCATATATGAATGTGACAAGGTATTTGTTACCACCAAATGAATCCACCTGGATTGGACCATATACATAAGAGTATATGACTTCGAGAATAGCCTTCGACCTGCTTCCTGCATTCTTGCTGAAGCTATTTTTGTGTTGGTTCTCCTACACACATTCCTCACACACTTCGTTGGGAATGTAAATTTATGGAAATCCTGAAACCATATTTCTTCTTTTCAAATCTCTGATGTCTCTGAAGTTGAGATGACCTAGCCGATAATGTCATATTCATTCATCTTTGCTAGCTGCAGTCGAAAGGCACTTGTGCTCCATCACATTAAGTTTAATCTTGAAGGTTCTATTTTGAGACATGGGAGCCTTCAAGATTAACCTTCCAATTGCATCAACGAATCTCATCATCTTGTCTTTGATCAAAACTCTATAGTTCTTTTCGACCAAATGCCCTATACTGAGCAAATTGCTCTTCATGCTTGGTATGTACAACACATTGGAAATTACTGACCTCTTGCCATCTTTCCTCATAATCATAACATGACCAATACCTTCAGCTGCTAGGGTATTGTCATTTGCAAATTTCATAGTGTTCTTCATCGAGGATTTTATGTTGACAAACCAATCTTTCCTTCCAGGCGTGTGTGATGAGCATCATGAATCCAAGTACCATTGATCCTTGAATTTTTCTTCATCTCTTGTTATAACCATCAGTAACATCTCATCTTCTTCATACTTTGCAAACTTTGCATCACTTTCTTGATTCTTTCACTTTTCTGGACAATCACTAGAATAGTGACCATACTTTTAACAATTGTAACACTGAATGTGACTTTTGTCAGGTTTTCGACCACCACCTCTTCCTCTATTTGCAAGACCACCTTTTTGGTTGCCTTGGTATGGTCTTCTCTAATTCAACACATTTTCTTCATGTTGATTTCTTCTACTAGTTGAATTATTGTAACCACATATACCTTTATTGTCGAACCACTTTCCTTTGCCTTTCTTGTTTTTTGCTGATTGAGCCTGCAAAGTCACATCACTCTTTGACTTGCATGCAACTTTTTTAGCTGTTCTTTGTTTGTGAGATTCAAGCGTCCCTTGAAGCTCCTCCTTTGACAAAGATGACATATCCTTCGACTCTTTTATGACAACTACCACATGGTCGAACTCAGAGCCAAATATCTTAAGATCTTTGAAACAACAGCTCTTGTTGTTAACGTCTCTCCATAAGTCTTGATTTGATTCACTAGTTTCGTAACTCTGGTGAAGAAATCTGATATGCTTTCATTATCTTCCATATGAAGCAGTTCATACGTTCTTATGTGAGTTTGTAACCTCACCTCTTTCACCTTCTCAGCGCCTCCAAACGATTTCTTCAGAATCTCCCAAGCTTCTTTTGCAGATTCAATATCACTAACCTTTTCGAAATTGTCTGGGTTGACACATTGGTGAATTATAAAGAGATCTTTATAATTCTTCTTCTTTGATTCTCTGTATTATGTTGTTTCTTCTTCTGAAGCGTCTTCATCAAGCGGTTCTAATTCATATTTCACAAGATCCCAAAGACCTTGAAAACAAAATATAACATTCATCTGTTTGCACCAATTCTCATAGTTATCACCTTTAAGAACTGGGAGACTTGCTGGAAAATTTTCGTTAGCGTAATTCATCGCCGTCGTGATCTTCTTCTTCTTCTTCTTCCTCGATCATTCTTCCCTTGAATCACTCAACCGGAGCTCTTGATACCAGATGCTGGAAATCCACCAAAGCCTATGATGAATTTCTACCAATCTTGATGAACAAGATTGATATCACCATACAATGATAATGAATTATATGAAAAGAAAAGAAATAAGACAATTATTTTCTACAGAGTTTCTCTCAACCCACAAACTGTGGAAAACTTTATTATTCACTTTGCAATTGTAAAATTTTATGAATACAATAAATTGACTTTATTATAAAAACAGGGATTACTCTCTCTATTTATAGATTTAGGTTAGCTTGCTCTCTAAGTCAAAGCCTAAAACTATAAAAACCCAAAATATCTATTTTGAAACTAAATCAAATCTATTTATTTTAGATTTAAATCAAATCTATCTAAATTTAAAACAAATATATTCCGTCTTTGACAACTACAACCCTTTGACACACATAATTTCGACATCATAAAATTCCAATTTAACATTTTCTACCCCCATAGGATGAGATGAACAATTTCCTATATACATATGTTTCAAAATGACCCTTCTAGAAAGAAAAAAGTGTTCGAAATGATTCTTTCAAAGAAAGGCAATATTGTTTTTGTATGAGGTCTATTTGGGGTGGAAGAGAAAGTCTACAAATTAAAAGCCAAATCTGAAATAGTATCCATCAAAGACTTTATTTTAAATTTGAGTTTTGGTTTATTAAATCTGGTCTAACCAATTTATTTAAAAACATTTGTCCTATTTTCAAAAAAGCTATTAAAATAATTAATAATATAAATTTTAATGTAAGATATTTAATACAAAATAAAGTATTAATAAATGTGAAATTCTTCTTATTGACATATCAACATCGCTCAAAACAAAGATAGCTTCTCCATTGACTAACTATTATGCTCATTATTCACATTATGAAATTTCTAGTGAAAACCAAACTTAAGAAAATTCTAATGGTTGAATAAATAGATGGTTCAAAGTTGAAAGAGATCTGTTTGGTAAATATTGATGTTTTAATAACTCAAAGTACCATCCACCAAATAAATTGATGATATATCGTCTTACGTATTCAATGCAACACAATTGAATCTCCTGTTTAATAGTTTTAGAGAGAAATTTGAAGGAAATTACACAAGTCACATGTTTGTGTCATAAAGAAAATGGTCAAAGCCGCCATTGAAAATACCAAACAATTTCACATTTTGTTTGCTTTACTTTTCCATTTCCCATATTTATATATAACATCCTAAAGGAAAGAAGAAACCAATTTGCCTCCAACATACTCCAAGGACTTGGGAGAAAAAACAAACAAACTTCCATCTCTTTGCTTTGTTCCAAACTAATTCATACTTTGTATCTTCATGGATCATTCTCTCTTACCTAGCTTCCTCTACTCCTCTATGTCATTGCCGCAGAAGAAGATCGTGGAGGATATATCCACCTATCACCATGTTGCGACGGAATCCTCCAAGTTTATGATTCCTTCTCCTAGCGAAACTGGAAGAAGGAACATAAAGATGTTTTCTCGTGATTACTATCTTGCTTGCGCCGTTGGTGGAAGCATATGTTGTGGCTTCACTCACATGGCAGTAACACCTCTTGATCTTGTCAAATGTAACATGCAGGTTAGTCCCTTTTAATGAACACTTGCTTAAGTTAAGTTGTTTATCCAAACATGCGTAAAATAAATATTACAAATTTCAGATTGACCCTGCAAAGTACAAGAGCATTTCCTCTGGATTTGGGGTGATGCTAAAGGAACAAGGATTTAGAGGATTTTTCAGAGGATGGGCACCTACATTTCTTGGTTATAGTGCACAAGGTGCTTTCAAATATGGATTCTATGAATATTTCAAGAAGTACTATTCAGATGTTGTTGGCCCAGAATATGCTACAAAGTACAAGACATTTATTTACCTTGCTGGAGCAGCATCTTCTGAGGTTATTGCTGATGTTGCACTTTGTCCATTTGAAGGTATTAAGGTTAGAGTTCAAACTCAACCCGGTTTTGCTAGAGGCCTTTCTGATGGCTTACCCAAATTGATCAGATCTGAAGGAGTTTCAGGGTATGTTACTACAAATTTTACTATATTTCTTGATATGTATATACCAATACAATCTTATATTGACAATTATAAATGTACAATGATTTCATTTCAGGTTGTACAAGGGAGTTCTGCCACTTTGGGGAAGACAGGTTCCATGTAAGTTTCTATCTATAAAGCACGGATACCGGAAACATGATGCTGACACTGATAATAATTTGAGAAAATGAATAAGTTTTTTACAGGATTTTTTTCAAAACCCGTTCATATAGCAGAAGGCGAAATAGCTATTAACCCTACTTTGAATTTCAACTCTAAAAGTGTCTTCTTGCTGAGTCTTACTTGCTAAATACGTTTCCTGCTAATACTTTTTTGACAGATTCAATATTACTACTTTTGATGTTGGTTTTGAACAAAGAAATAATGAATGAATATAATGTTGTTTGTTGCAGATACGATGATGAAGTTTGCTTCTTATGAAAAGATTGTCGAGATGATCTACAAGCATGCCATCCCCACACCAAAGGAAGATTGCACCAAAACCCTACAACTTGGTGTGAGTGTTGTGGGTGGATATTTAGCTGGAATATTGTGTGCGATTGTGTCTCATCCCGCGGATAATCTTGTATCTTTTCTAAATAGTTCTAAAGGAGCAACGGCTGCTGATGTGAGTGTTGCATTAATTTTATTTTGATCTATGGATAAATCTTTAATTCAATACTATATGTAATTCGTCATTGTTATTGACAATACTTTGTAATGCAGGCTGTAAAGAAGTTGGGATTATGGGGTATGTGTACACGTGGTCTCCCTCTTCGTATTCTTATGGTGGGAACTCTAACCGGTGCTCAATGGGGAATTTATGATGCATTCAAAGTTTCTGTGGGACTGTAAGTTTTAACAATTATGCTCATTGGTTTTAGTTTTTGATATATTGATTGATTGGTTATCTCAAGTTTTCAAATTTGATTGGAATACCAAATTGAAAATTGTTTTTTCCTTTATCAGGCCAACAACTGGTGGTCTTGCTCCTGCTCCGGCTTCTACTTCTTAGCTTTGCAAAGGTTCCAATGCAGCACCGAGATACAACACTTCAAAGTTTGTTTGTTTCATAGACTATAGGAAAACCAAGTAAAATTGAGCTTAAATAAACTAAGGATTGCAAAGACTAATGAGAATTTTGTATTGAATAGTTTGTTAGAATATTCTTTCGTAGTTATAGCTTTCTATAGTTATGATTTGGTAGGTTTTGCAGAATTTATGTGTATCACGTAATAAAAATATGTGATAAACTCAATTTTTTCATATATAAGTAATGTAATAACTCGATTTTTGATCTATTCTAATGATTATGGATGGATGTGACTCATGCCAAATGATAATAACTGAGAAGATCATCACTGAGAGAAAGAAGATAGTTTAGGGTTCGACGCAGAGATTGGAAATTTTGAACTGAAAAAGATGAATGAAATTGAGAAGATAAAAAGGAGAGAAAGAGAGTTGTAATAGAATGGATAATATGTATAGCATTGAAATACAGGACTAAAAATTGATTAGTGATACAAATTAGTTTTGAAATCAGGTCTAGAATAAAAATCAGATTTAAGACTTAAAATCAATCTGACTTTTATTTTGAATTAATTCTTAAAAGTAAAATCAATTCTCGATAATCAGTTAAAATTAATTCTATATATATTTAGAATCAATTCAGAATACTCCAAACATCAAATCAAACATACACTTAAATGATAAGTGTAAAAGTCGTAAAAAATACACTAGATGATAAGAGTAAAAGTCTTAAAAGTTATGTATGAATTTGTTGATATTAAAAGGAATAGAATGGAGTGGATGATAATTGATTGAAGATTTTACTAGTTTTGATTAAATTTTTGTTGAATACTTAAATGGTAAGTGTAAAAGTCGTAAAAGATACACTAGATGATAAGAATAAAAGTCTTAAAAGTTAAGTATGAATTTGTTGATATTAAAAGGAATGGAATGGAGTGGATGGGAATTGATCGAAGATTTTACTAGTTTTGATTAAATTTTTGTTGGGTTATTGGGTAATTGGGTTGGAGTACACTTGTATTCCTTTTAATAAAATGTTGCTTATAAAAAAAAACTAAGCTATGTTTGAATTGATAAAACATAATAAACCAAAATGAAATACAATCAAACGGAACAAAATAGAATATAAATATTACTTTATTGTTTAGTCATTTTATTGAAAATATTTCATTTCATCACATATATTTTTAAATTAGACGGAAGAAGAAAAGAAGAATCGGGTAGAATGTGATGAAATGAATTACATCGTACTCCATTTTATTATATTTATTAATCATTTATAAATTTAAAAAATAAAATCTCATTAGTTATCTCTCTATTCCATTTCATTTTATCTTATACCAAGAATCCAAACATTATTTCATTCATTTCATCAAATTTCATTCAATTCTTCATTGAAGAAAACTATGGAAAATTTGCATAGAAATTGAAGAAAAAAAATGTCATTCATAATGGTGTGAAAGGTAGATAGGACAAGAGAGGACATACAACACAGGGACCTCCAATGGTTGTTATTAGTACCCAAAAAAAATTGTTTTGAAAGTAAATTTCAAGGCAATTAGGATTTGGTGACAACTAGATTGGATGTCCAATTTAGAAAAATAAGATAAAAATTATTAATGGTGTTATACTCATACAAAATGATAGGAAGTTATGTATCAATAGATCTTAGGTGAATAGTTATCCATAGAGATTTTTTTTGGAGTTGAATGTTATTTTGTTGGAAATAATTTATATTTTAGAAATATTTTATTGATTAAGTCTCTTAGAGGATATTTTAATATTTTATTATATCTTAATATTTGTGTATAAATAGTCTAGTAGTAGGTAGGTCAATGTATTCATTACTCCTTATTTGTAACCGTCATTTAATATATTTCTTTTGTCTTTCATCTCTCATTTGTGTACCAATAATTAATATCTAGAGCTCTGATTCGAAATCCACAGGGAAACACAGAAAACACGAGTGAACGGTGAGGTGTTGTGTGATTGAGAATCACATTTTTCTGATTCTGTGGAATTTGAGAAACATTGTGTGTTAGTGAGTTTTGAGTGAACTGCACAAGGTTGAAGATGAACGGAAACAGCGATATCAGTTCCAAGCTTCCAATGTTTGATGGAAAAAATAATATTGTTAGAAGATCCAGATGCGTGTGTTGTTCGGTTCTCAAGATGTGTTAGATCTTGTCATCGATGGTTATGCTTCATTAGTAACAGACACGACGGAGACACATAAGACAACGCAGAAAGCGATAAGGAAGAAAGATTAGAAAGCATTGTTCTACATACATTAGTGTGTGGATGCGAATGTGTTTGAGAAGATTGTTGACTCTGAAACAGCAAAGGTTGCGTGGGACACACTGGTCAGATGTTACGGTGGTGATGCATCAGTGAAGAAGGTGAAGTTTCAGTCTCTAAGAAAGCAATATGAGAATCTCAACATGAAGGACAACGAGAAGGTTTCTGAGTAAATCTCTAGAGTGATTCTGATCACTAATTTGATGAAAGCTTGTGGAGAAACTCTTTCTGAACAAGTAATCATAGAGAAGATATTGAGATCTTTAACTTCTCTGTTTAATTACATTGTGGTAGCAATTGAACATTCTAAAGATCTGGAAATCATAAGAATAGAAGAGATACAAAGCAGTTTAGAGGTGCATAAGTTGCATCTGAATGAAAGAACTTCTAAGAAGGAAGTTGAGCAGGCTCTGAAGACTTCTTTTGTCAAGAAGGACCAGAAGCATTCTTGGTCAAAAACCAAGAATAAACATGGTGATAGATTCCAGAAGTCAGAAACCTCTACTTTTGATGAGAAGAAACATCAGAAGGAAAATGAGAAGTATGACAAGAGAATGGTTCAATGTTACTGATGTAATAGGTTTGGCCACTTTGTTAAAGATTGTTGGTCAAACAAAGAAGAAGGAAAAATAACCAGAGAAGATTCGGATGATGAACATGTGCTATTGATGGCTTATGAATCTGATGAGGAACCATTGTGATTGTCATTTTCTGATTCTGAAAGGGAAGAAGATGACTCTTGACTCTGCATGAGTATTTGAATATGAGTCATAATCAGAAGATGACGCTGAAGTTTCTGAAGATGAGTCAGAGTTAGAAGATGACTCTGAAGCTGAAGACAAGTCAGAATTCGAACGTGATTCTGAGTCTGAAGAAGAATCAGAAGATGAGTCAGAATATGAAGAAGATTCTGCTTCTAAAGATGAGTCAGAACTTGAAAGTTCTGAAGATGAGTCAGAGTCAGAAGATGAAGAATCTTCTAGAGACTCTAAAGATGAGTTAGATGGGGAATCTGATTCTGATCCAAATTTTGAATCTGGTGGTGATCATGCTTCTATAAGGGAAAACTCTGAAGACGTGGGTTTTGGAGGACAAGCTTCTGAATATGATCATGTTTCTGGTGGAAAACATGTCCGATGGACCTTATAAAGGAGGGGCTTTTGAAGGTAGTCCAGCCTCTGATGAAGGTCATGATTTTGAAAGTGGAACTTCTGAAGGCAGAGACTCTGAAGGTGAACCAATTTTTGAAGGTAGTGGTTCTGAACGAGATCCAGAAGCTAACAAAGGTGGAGCTTCTGGTGGTAGTCAAACTTCTGAAGAAAGTCCAGAAGGAGATATTGTTCCAGAATCAAAAGGAGATTGTGAACAAGTTCATAGGCCACGACTAATCAGAAATATACCAAGGACATTTGTAGAGTTTAAAAAGTTGCAAGATACTGAAGGGACTCTAAGGTATGAAGTATTATTCCTTTCTAGTGTTAGATCAGATGCAGAGCTGGTGAGTTACTCAGACTTTGATTGGTGTGGATACATAGTTGACAGAAGAAGTACTTCTGGGTACTTATTCAAATTTTTGGGAGGTCATATTTCTTGGTGTTCCAATAAGCAACTTGTTGTTGCACTGTCAACCTGTGAAGCTGAATATATTGTAAGATCTCTGTCTGCATGCTAAGTTGTGTGGATTCTAAACTTACTGCAGGATCTGAAGATCGAGGTAAACAAGCCTCTGAAGTTGATGATTAATAACAAGTCTGCAGTCAATCTTGTCAAGAATCTAGTGCTGCATGGGAGAAGCAAGCATATTGAGACCAAGTATCACTTTTTGAAGAATCAGGTTCAGAGTGGAATATTAGAAGTTGTGCACTGTAGCATTTAGAAGCAGCTAGTGGACGTTCTAACAAAGGCAATCAAGATTGATCAATTTCTTCGTTTGAGGGATGGAATTGGTGTTGTCAGTTTTGTGTAAATATAAATTAAGGGATGATGTTGGAAATAATTTATATAATAGGAATGTCTTGTTGACTAAGTTTGTTAGAGGGTATTTTAGTATTTTATTATACCCTAATCTTTGTGTATAAATAGCCTAGTAGTAGGTAGGTCAATATATTCATTACTCCTTATTTGTACTCGTCATTTAATATATTCCTTTTGTCTTTCATCTCTCCTTTATGCACCAGCAAATATTTTGACCCGAAAAATAGTTATCACGTTCCTCTCTCTAAAGTGTGGGACGTGGAAACCGTTATATCCCCATATTATTCTAGATAACGTGGTTCCCTCTCTGATTGAATTTTTCATACCGTTAGTACTTGAAAATTCATCACTACCCACATCTTATAAGTGGGTGAGATATGGTCGGACTCAAGCCCAATAGTGGGTGAGTGTTGCAATTAATGGACGAGTATTGCAAAATGGGCGAGTGTTGCAACCTGAGGGGCATATGGTACTACTCACTTGGAGTTGACTTGTCTTGATTCCTTTGATTTACCTTTTCTTAGAATTAGGCCAACAATGTGGTTATGTCCACATGCCAACGGCTGCGCAACACTGTTGATCTGAGTGATGTTGAAGGTCTTGTTATCCGTTAGGGCATCCAACTGGCACAAAATTTGAAGCTCCAAAATTTCATTGTTTATTCGGATGCATTAAGGGTGGTGGAGTGCATTATATTGCTACTTTTGTGATTCT